GTGAAGATAAAGGGCAAAAAGCTTTTAACTTTCTAAACCCGCTCTGTCTGCTGTCCGCTGCAGCTCCTACTGTGTTGCCAGATCTCTCATGAGAATCGAGCATGCTATTTTTGTTTGAGGGGGTGGTGAAAGGGTGGCGGCATGGGCGTCGCTAGGCCATTTTTAGGGGGGCTATAGTCTCTATAAAGAGAGATAGGCTGACAAATAAAAGTGTAGTCTGCACAAAATTGTATGTTATTTTATTCATCTTGTCAAGAGTCTTGAATTTATTGACTTTGACTTGAATCTATATGAATTATCTTAAGACACAAAATTTGTTTAATATTTTTATAGTTTAACAAAAATGGTATTTCTTATTTTTATTCGTCTTGTCAGGATACAATTCGTTTAACATTGACAACACAATAGGGAAAAAATGTCGCAGAGAGACAAAAAAAAAAAATTGTAGGTTGTACAAAAATTTGCCTATTAGCTATTTGTTTTTCGTCTTGTCAAAATACTAAATTCGTTTGACATTTTTCTGTTAACACAGTAGGAAAAGTGTCATAGAAAAAATCCATTGCTTGCAGCGCGTGCATAACTGTCCTGAGCGCAAGCTGTACCAGTGGTCAATAAGAATAAAGCGCAGATATGCTGTTCTGAATGGATGTCGGGAACGGGATATTGTTAGACCACCCGCTCCCGTTCAAATTACGGGAATTTAATCCCGCGGTGCAAAAAATCCAGTTGGGTCCCGCGGTTCCCTAGTTTGAAGGACACTCTGTGTGTCTCTTCTGAGCGATGGCACTAATTAAACTGCTCTGTTTAGTCTGGCTGACTGCACACAGTCCTGTCCAGCCAAGTGATCTGTGTGTGAGCTCATCTCAAACGTATAAAACAGGAGCCTGACTCTTTTTGTTTAACACACTGACCTGCTCCTAAATGTTTCCGCACACGCAGACCTAATGAAGCTGGTCATACCGCACCTCACTTCACATCTGTCACACAAGCCAGACACCCTCACAGCAGGCGGCCATGATGGATCCACCATCAGCATTTGGGTAGTGCTTTACTGTCCAGCAGGAGAACAGACAGAGCTAGTTAAGTGTTTACATTTGACCTTCTGTGCTGTAATTGCAGCTGCCTTTTCATCCTCTCAGGCAGATAAACAAACTGCAAACATCCGTTCTTTGCTATGTACACTAGTCTGTGTTTACATCTAATGGTTTTTCTTCATTTCTATATAACGCTTGGCGTAAATTGTGGGCTTCTCTTTCTTGATGATTATTTTTTTAAGCTTTCGTTTGACTTTTCATGTTTTGTTTTTCCCCCCCTCAGACACTAAAGTTATTTCAGAAACCATGAAACTTAAATAATACCATGTCCAAAAACATGGTATTACCATAGTACTTTTACAGGGCTGTACGTTAACTTTTTCACATAGCACTGGTGCTACAGAGGTTGAAAGTTTTGTAGCACAGGCCAAAAATTTGTAGCACACGTATAAAACGTCTGTTATCATGTCTGAAAACAAACACAAGTAATGGAGTTCATCACTTAAACAGGTACTAATGTTCCATACAGAGCACAAAAAATACAAACCATCACAAAAATTGTTTTAGACAAAGTTTTCTTAATTTGCTAAAAATGGAAGAGTGCAGAAACATAACACCTCTTACACCTTAACAAAATATAAAATAAAAAACAATGGCAGACATTTAGGCAAAGTTAGCAAAGATAAAAATCTTTGTCATTATTTTATCTTTGTTATTAGAAAATAAGAACATTTTTCAGGTACAGTATTTAGCAGTATTTACAACATTTTATTTTTCAGGTACAGTATTTAGCAGTAAAATTCAAGAAATTGAATGTACAAATATTAAAATAAAACACTATATACACTATATACATCAATTATACTTTTTTAAAAGCAACTGACTGATG